CTAGACTGCAGTTAGAAACTCTGCCCTGTGACAGGCACGCGACCGAAGAGTTTGGACTGCAGTGTAAACTTCAGAGGGGCTTGGACTCCAAAACGGCAGTTTGAAACGTATTTTCAAACTCTAACCATGACAGCCCGATTGGATGCTAGAGGTGCTGACAAGATCAGACACCACTAGCACCCGGGGAGAGGCTCCATCTATTGGTGGGGAGCAACACCTGCTGGAAATCGGGTCCAGCGTCCCTATACACAGAAGTTTGTGGTAAAGTGTGCCACGTGTCAAAGCCTAAGGATCCTAATCAGCTGGTAAGGGGACACATAAGCACGCAGATCTCATCATGATGAGCAGCATCAATCACCCTTTGCCCATCTCAATGTAAGAAAATCATTATCCCTATTCAGCCGCCCTCATAATATTTTTCACAAAACCTTACAGCGCCATGGGGGGGGGGGTAGCCAGAATAGAGAATTTAGAGAATCTAATATAACGAATCCGACATTCCTTGAAGCTGCATTTTTCTTTACACAGAGGACAGTGTTATAGATTCAGATCGACTAGGGACTATGATTCCACTATTTGTTTTACTAGTTTTAAGAACGTCATGACATCTTCAACATTTGCTTATTAATCTTATTGCAAACTAAAAAACTGGTTCTTTTTTTTTTTTTTTTTTGGTTAACGATGATATTTTTTTTAACTGGAGAAAGAAAAGAAAAAATCCAGTTTTCATATGTGAGCTTTTTTTATCTCCACAACCATGATCCCTTTGTTCTATGATCATGGAAACTGACACTGGGTCCGTTTCCGAGCATGTGTGGTTCCCAAGGAAGAGAGTGGAGCTCTGTTTGGAGGGAAAAAAGAACAGAAGAGAGCCCATAATTAACAGCAGCAGCTGAACTACTAACAGGAGATCTGATTTGATAAATCCAGAGACTCACCCTTTGATAGCGGCACAGATGTCTTCGCATCAAACCCAAGCAAAAGATTAAACATGGGTACAAAGAGACCCCCTCCTCCAACACCACCTACATTCGCCAAAGCGGCAGCGATAATAGACAAAATGGATGCGATGATTATCTTTCGGCTGGGTCTCAATTCCTGGAAGACAAAAAAATTACAAGCAGCAAACCATTCATCCCCATCAGCATGGATTTTTTTAATTATTACTTTTTTGAAGCATGGATTAGAAAAAATCATTTGTGTCCTAAGTTCCTAATCTGGTCCATAGATTTGTGCAAATAAATGTGCAAACCAAAAAGCACAAAATCATTTTATGTGTCCTGTCAGAAGAGACCCCTCCCTCCCCACTGTCCCCAGGCAATACCAGGGGCCATGTCCCACTTCTCAAGGTTTTGTCCTGGTTTCGAATATACATGGCTCCTTGCCATCCGATCTGAAAATCTCATGGCCCTAGTGTTTTCACCCGGCGAATAGAACGCGCGGTCATTATAGGTGTATTTGGCACAGCTTTCAGCCCAGATACGGCGATAATTACCGCCGGAATTTACGGCGCTTTCTATTCAGATGAAGACAGTAGTGTGACCACGTTGGAAAATACACGAAACATAAACTAAACCCCCTCTAGTGGGACAAGGCCCCAGGATTTGCCAGAGCGAGTCCCCACCAATAGATCCGAGCTTGGTTAAAAAAAAAAAAAAAAAAAAAAAAAAAAAAAAAAAAATCTAGAGGGGGAAAACAAAAAGAAAAAGAAAACACCAATGATAGACAGCAAAAGAGATCATTGGCAGAATCGAGGTGACGGTAACTAGAGGACTCCAGTCAATCTTCTGCATCAAGTTCATCAACCCACAAGAAGCAAAACAGACACCATGACAATTTGTATTTGGTAATAAAGGGAATGGAGGGCCTTGAAATCCTTGCTGTAGTCCATTCTGGTGACCAAGGAACCATAAGCCAGTTGAAAAGGCATCCAGCACAAGCACATAAGGGAAGTCCACGCCACAAACCTCCTCTTTCTTTCATGCTCGCTTATGTGGAAGCACTACTGCTGTATTGGGCCAAGATCAAGATCCTGCATGTCTGAACTTAACAGTGACTGGTGATGAGGGATCCAACTGTGCAGGGCACCATAGCTGGTGTGCGTGTGTCACGGTGTGTGTGTGTGTGTGTGTGTGTGTGTAAGCCAGGCCCTGAGAGAGAGAGAGAGAGAGAGAGAGAGAGAGAGAGAGAGAGAGAGAGAGAGTAAGCCAGGCTGGGAGAGAGAGAGAGAGTGTGTAAGCCAGGCTGAGAGAGAGGGAGAGAGAGAGTGTAAGCCAGGCTGAGAGAGAGAGAGAGAGAGAGAGAGAGAGAGAGAGAGAGAGAGAGAGAGAGAGAGAGAGAGAGAGAGAGAGAGAAAAGAGGGGGGGGGGAGGGGGCATAAATGGCTAGGGAGAGGAATGTTAGTATGTCACTGAGGCGAACAGGCATTTCTCATACAACTACGGGGTCGATACCTACTGACTGAACCCTCCCCCCGGCCGCCCCCAAGACACACACGCATACATACACACAAGAAAAGCTAAAAACAAACGAAACTGCAGGGGTCTCTGGGTTGCAGGTTGTTTTCTTTGTTCTGCAGTCTTCTGTGGGCGTGTATCACCACAAAACTGTCCTTGTCAGTCGCTCCCAAGCATTTGCACACACACACACAGTGTCACACACCCCTCACTTACTGAAGTGCCACAAACAATAAAATTTCAACGAGTGCCACTTACTGCACCTTACAGAAGCCAGAAGTGCCACAAACAGTAAAATTCCAACAAGTGAAGACAGAACCATGCGGAAGCAAGTGGTGCTTTTTGCCCATGCGAAACTCTGGGCTGACATAATGAACTCGCCCCGAAAACCCAAAAACACAAAAAAAAGCAAGGGAAGAGGATAGTCACCGATAGTGTGTCCCAGGGCCGTGGCCCATTCTGGGAAGTTGCGTTGTGGGGTTGTGGCTTCTACCGTCTTCCCCCGAGCATAACGCAACCTAAAAATGAATGTATACGAGTTATATTTCCGGCCAGATACAGCCAAAATGAGGGTGCGTTGTGTTCGGGGGAAGACGGTACTACTTTTCAACGTGGTCACGCTGTGGCCGTAAGACTTTCAGATCGTATGGCAGGGGCTCTTGTGTGCTCGAAACAAGAATCAAACCTCCTCAAGCAGGGCATGTTTTTTTTAGGTTCCCGGCCTCTGTCACCGACACCAGACGACCCCTGAAGAGGGCTGACTGTGGCTGACCCCTTTGGCACCTACACCAGAAGACCCCCGACGAGGGCTGACTGTGGCGGTCAGCCTAAAAACGACGGTAGTCGGGACTGTCGGGTCACTCGTCACTCGAATGCTTCGGCACTTTATTTTTTTATTTTTATTTTTTTCCAGAAGTCCATGGTGTTGTAGAGGCCAGTCACTGAGTGCACAGTACGGCTCGTCGCGTTCACGACTTTCAAGATTGTATCCCGTGTCACTCTCCCCCCCCCCCCCCCCCCCCCCCCCCCCCCCCCCCCCCCCCCCCCCCCCCCCCCCCCCCCCCCCCCCCCCCCCCCCCCCCCCCCCCACCCCACCCCACCCTCCTCTCTCTCTCCCACGCGCGCGCGCGCGTGATGCGTCTTCAACTTGGTGTGACGTGCTGGTGTGTCTTAAGCTTGATTACCTTTTTCGTCGATCTGCAGTGCGTGTGACTTCACTGTGACAGTGATGACTTGCTAACTTCTGAGCTCGATTACCTTTTGAACCTTTTGAGGCCCTTGTCTTTTTTTCTTTTTTTTTTAATTATTATTATTTTTATTTGAAAAAGCCCAGGATGTTCTGGAGGCTAATTACAAGGCACACAGGGATCACCGGGAGCGATGAGCCTTCGCAGTCCTAAGATACGAGGTCACCTCCCATCCCTACCAGGCTCTTGTCTATCTGCAGTGGGGGTGACTTGACTGTGACGATTTACTATTGGACACTCTTGTGTCTGCTCACACAATGCCATGTCAATTGAGTCGTGTCCTATTGGACACTTTTTTTTTTTTTTTCTACACTCTGTTCCTGGAGTTCTTGAAATTTAATAAAGTGGCTGATTATGCAAAAGAAAAGAAAAGAAAAGAAAAGAAAAGAGGAAAGCAAAGGAAGAGGATTTAAGCCGAGCAGACGGCAGGCACTTAGGGAGGGAAGCTCTCTCACCGGCAGCTTCGTCCCGACCCCAGCTCGTAATTGAAGATTACCAGCTCTGCACGAGTGCCTCTGCGGTGATGGGCCTGACGACGTGACGTTCACCGAAGCAGTAGCCGGGCCTGTCATCATGACTCGGGCTTGGGGGATTGTCCACATTACCCGCCCCCATGCCTTAGTGGTGGCGGGAGAAGAAACGTGTCCACCCTCCATCTCACAACCACCTTTCATCCTCCCGCCGGTCGGGATCGCAACTCCTGCCATATCCTTTGCTCCATCTGGAACGTAGTACCTCTTTCTCCCATAATCCTCCTCCCCTTGCTCGCTCTCCAGCTTCTCCTGCCGTGCCGCAAGCCCATCCGTGCCAGCACTCCCATCTTGACCATCGGCGAAGTCCGGACTGCATTTACTAGTGTAATTACTCGCAGTTTGCGATCCCGACGCCTCTGATAGCTGTCGAGACCGGGTCTCGGGGTAAAGATCGGGATGGTCAAGAAGAGAATCTTGTGCTTGATTGTCGGGATGACGGAAAGCGGATAAGCTAGACTGACATACGCAGTGAGTGACAGAGAGCGACAAGAAGAGGAGGAGAAGGAGGAGGGGGAGAAGGCGGTGGTGTATAGCTAGACGACCCGAGCTCGCTGGAAAAGAACGAGAACGATCGCTCGAGTGTCTCCTCTTCCAAGTCCTCACCCTGCAGGACGCGAAGCCTCCAGCTTTGCCCATCATAAAGCACCTCAGAGCGTCTAAACACTACAGCCCCCCCCCACCCTCTCTCTCTCTCTCTCTCTCTCTCTCTCTCTCTCTCTCTCTCTCTCTCTCTCTCTCTCTCTCTCTCTCTCTCTCTCTCTCTC